TCCTGCCGCGGGTAAGCCGCCAGCGACCGGGAAACAAACCTCTTCACGCTTGGTACGACACCGAGAAGCTACTCGGTCCTTTTTCATCACTGAGGTCCAGGTTAATTTCTCCTCCAAGCAGGGCACAGACCCACTGCTGCTTTACCGGTGGCATCTGTCGCAGACACGGGCTACAGGGGTACGTACCAGAATAAACTGGAAGAGTGACCTGGCATCGCGAATTTAAGTGAAGAGCTGCTTCCGAAGCATTTCTTGGTGACCTACTCCCAACAAGCAAGGAGAGGGGGGAACTACATCTCTGGCTGGTGCCTCTGACAACTCCGCTGGAAAAAAAGAGCAGGAGGTCCCAAACCAAGCTCTTCTAAAGAGTAGTAGAAGTCGAAGTCTCCGAAAGGATTTGTGTGTCATGCCACAGTTCTCTAGGAGGGTGGCATTTGCCCTGTGTCATTGTTACTCTTTTTAAACTTTCCAGGAAGACAAGTCCAATGCCTCACAGCTGGCAGCCTCTACCTAGCACAAAGATTTATTTCCAGGTGATGAGAAAAGATACGTTTAGCTGTTCCTCTTGTCTGCACAGGGTTGGTTGTTTTTTTTAAATCCCACAAAGGAGGAGGAAAGAGGACCAGAAAAGGACGACTTCCATGTTTGTGTTTTCTTTCTTGGCTACCCATTTGAGTAATAGTTTGAAAATTACGAGTATTCAATTAGAGGTATCCTTTTCAAACAGATAGCTAATTAAATATTAATAGCACATGCAGGCAAAATGTTTTAGAGACCATAAAACTCACAAATGTTTGAATGCCATAGTCTAGATGCAAGGTAAAGCCAGAGCAATCTAGATGAGGGGAGATCATGGCCTGAAGCTTCCCACTTCTCTACTATTAAGTATAGACAAGCCTCATTTTGAAATCCTCTTTAAACAATGATGGCCTCAAGGAGAGCAGGTAGCTTCTTTCCAACTAGTTCTGCTTTTCTTAATTCTCTCCAGCAATCACACTTCAAGAAGAATCAAATAATTCTGACAATGTCATCTCTGAGAGTCTGAATAAATAAGACTAAGGTAAGAAGGAGATTTCTACTGCACTGAAGCAAAAGAAATGGGCCGTGATATAACAACATTGGAAGAGGTAAGAGAATCATTCCACTATAAGTCAAAGGGAGAAGAGTTTGGTCCAGGACTGAATGTCCAGTAAAGCACAGACATTACAAAACAGAATATTCAGAGTCAGAACTAAGACCAAAGCTCTTGAATTTCTCTGGCATCCAATGAATTTCAACATTTTTCCCTCCTTATCAGACAAAACTTACTTGCAGTAGAGAATGTCTTTCACATGCCAGAGACCATCTGCTATTCAGTATCAAGTACCTACAGCCAAGGACCTGGAAAAGTAAATCACAATGGCTGGTTCCTAACCCACACATGTAAATACAATTTTCAGAAGCTACAGAGCCACAGGTACAGTATTAAACCAGGAAGGGAGCACTGGAGAACCACCAGTTTGATGAGCCAAGAAGTTCCATGGCCTCTCCCTTTCATTATTCTTCATTCTTTGGCCTATTTGATCCTCAAATCACAGTACTGTGAAAGCCAGGACAACCTTTTATCATCTTTTGAGACACCTGTGAGTAAAGCTTAAGAGCAGATGAAGATAGAAACAGGAGTAGGCTCAGTTCCCCTTACACCGGCTCTTCAACAATGCTCTTCAGTCATACATGAATGTCAGGCAGCACCTGGCATTGCTCTTTAAACAGCTGGCAGTGCTCTATAAGGGGCCAGTGAAAGGCACTGTGATAAAGTTACCTTGTCACAATCAAGCGTTTCTCAGTAACTCGGCACGCAATAGATGAAGGCTTGATTAAACAGCAGACAAAGAATGAAAAGCCCATCTGTAATCAAGGTGGCTGTAAGCTCTGGGGATTAAATGTAGAGAACCAAAATAACAAGACACAGTAAACAGACCTTGTTCAGTAAGGCTTTTATTATCTTCCGGTACCTACACACCTTTGCAGAATATACCTAAAGTGCCAGCTCAATTTTCCCACCCATCTTGCTTTGGTATGGAATCAGTGCTGGTCGAACCTCCTCCTTCAGGAACTTTGCCACCTGTTCAAGAAAGACAGGAAAGATAAAATTAGCAAAAGAAAGGGCTTGCCTTTTCCTCCCCATTCAGACCTGCTTGTCTCACTGGGGTCTCTGTTTCAGAGAGACACCTTGCACTATAATATGTGTGGGGTCAAAAATGTGAGTCCCACAGGGAAGAAAGACAAGAAAGCCAAGGAAAACAAAAGAGAGAAATGCGTCTGCTTTAGTAATACGGGCAGAGGTACATAATATGTACACTCTGTGGCATACAGCAGGATGCAGGATTAAACAACATGTTGCATTACAACCCATAGCACCTGTAGCCTCTTTCCACTACTTTACCTGTTGAGGAGCACGTCCAGTGAAGGAGGAGGGATTCAACAGGCTTTCAAGTTGTTTATGGATAGGGCTGAAGTAAGGATCAGCACGGACACGGGCAATGAAGTCATTATCACCCCCTTCCTGTTTCACAACAGCAGCTGCTTGCTGGGAGAGAACACGAATCTTCTCGTGGCAATCCTGTAGGAGCAGGGAGAAGAGGAGAGGAAAAGAAAAAAAGTCATTCCATTGCTACTGACAGCACATGTTCATCCTGCTAACTTGTGCAGGAGGAAGAAACATCAAGGCATACTGCACTGAACAGCATACAAATGAGACACAGCTTGGACTGCAGTGTCTCATACACCACTATATTAAAACAAGATTTTCTTCATCCTTCCACATTTGCCCTTTGAGGCTAAAACAGTCTGAATGTCACATTCATTCCTTGTTCAATTACAACACAAACTTAGGACACGGGAATGGTTTAGTCTTCTTCAAATTTCCCAAATATTCTTAGGAGTCACTATAGGATTTTTTTGTTGTAAACAATGTAAAACATCTACAGATTTGGAAAAGGGAAAAGGAAAGAACCTGTCCAAGTTAACAAGCAATGAGACTATATGTAAACCATGGCTTACACATAAGGACAGGCAGAAGGAAAAAAAACCACCTTACAAACCTGAGGGCCTTAAGACATTCTCTCCCAAAGAACCCTGACATGGCACTAATACTGGCAAAACCCTTATAAAAATTTTTCTGAAAGACTTCCTAATCCCTTGACTTTCTGTGGAATTAATCTGTAAAAGCAAGGGAACCCAACTGTAGTTGGGGACCACCTGCAAAATCAGATCCTGCCAGGCTGGCCCTAAAATACAGTCATGTTAAGAATCTTCTCCTCAAATGTATTATCCTTGATCTATCTTCAATTAGGAGGGAAACGATCTCCTGTTTTCTCCATGCAAATGCCATCTTGCTCCAGCACTAACCTGCCTCAGGTGAACAGATCTGTCTTCCAGATGTTTAGGGGAGGGAGCTGTTTAGTGGGAAAGGAAGTGTCTTTCTGTGCTATGAGGTGGGAAAGCATAGAAAATGTGCTGTTCCAGAGTTCCCAGCACATGCAAACAGAACATACGAATGTGAATATGAACAGCTTTTATAAATTTACTAAACTCCATAGATTTGTAATTAAACTGCACCAGAAAGAAGGTAGGCCAATAACAAACACAAATGAAATTCACTCTTCAATCTAATCAAAACAGAGAGGACAGTATTAAGAGTACTGTTTAAGTATGGGATATTTTAGAAAGAACCAGTTGAAAAGATAATAAAACTTATCCACATGCTGTGACCTAATACATTTAGTTAGGAAGCTTACTGACTGACCCAGTGACAAACATCAGAGACACGGGGAAAAAAACAGGAAAAAGGGCGTTTCCTGCCTAACATCATGGGTGAGTTACCACCACTGTTTCAGAGAACTAGAACCACATTCCTAGTCAAAGCTTCTAGCAAACCCTTCCACTATTACTACGTTGCAAGTTTAACTTCTGTCCCTGATGTGGAAATAATCATAGAAGGAAAAATTACTATCTAAAGGTAAGTAAAAATAAGCTATTTTATTAAGATGTAAATTTAGCTATCAGTTTTAAAGTGAATTGTGCAATTAAATGTTGAGGAAATATAATCTAATTGTGTCTGCATTTATTTACTAATGAAAACATCTAATTTCAATTTGCTTGAACACAGAAAACTGAATGAAGGACCATAAAAAGCACTCTACTGAATTAGGGAAGAGCGACACATGAATGAATAGTTTGGAATGGTCTGACTTGCTTTTTCTTTAGCATCACTGGTTCACTCTTAATTTATAAGGTAGCCACCTGCCAACATGTTCCATTTAAAGAAGCCTGGTCTGCGTTCCAAGTTCCTTCAAACATTTACAAAAGGAAAACGCCTACTAGTATCTAATATAAAAATAGGTTTCCCTCTTTTCCAACACAGACAGCCAGATTAGCTCAAACACAGAGCGTTCCTAACAGAAAATACTGATCTCCACAACTGCTGTCTCCTCGGAGAGCTTTGCAGCACCAGCGTAATATTAATAACTCTGTGGGAGTAGGTGGAGAAAAAAGAAAGGTGAGATAGTCGTGACAAAAGCCCAGATACTTTTGTTTCTCAGGAGTCAAAGGCCAGGCAGCGAACAAAGGTATTTTGGACTGCATTTGTACCTGACGATTGCCCCCTGCTTTCACCATCGCCATGATTATATTCTCTGTGGCCATGAATGGCAGCTCCTGCCGGATCCTCCTCTCAATCACCTTAAACAAAACAAAAACAAAACAAACAGAAAAAAACACCAGCATTATAGAAATTCTGTAGACAACTGGGACTCCCAGTGAAGTTTTCCTCTCCCTTTGAATCTCCAGGACTGGACAATGTGCAAAGATAATTCCTCTTTTTGGACTTAGCTCTGGAAATCCAGGTATTGAAACTGTCCCTTAGAAGGGACATTACTGTGGAAAAGATGTACAATGAATTTTATTTTTAACCTGTAGGTAATTTACAGGACTCTATGGGATCTGTCTCGACAGTCTTTTTGATGCTAAGTTCTACAGAACCATTTTATAGTTCAGGGCAAAATATCCTTTGTGAGAAGTTTTGAATTCATTATCTTCTGGCTTCAACAAGTACCCTTTCATGTCTGTCCTGCAAACAGTGGGAATACAGGAAAAATAGAGATAAAAATTCAGAAACCATTTGAACTAACAGATAAAAATGTAATCCTTTGAGTAGAAGGACTTTTATACACTTTGGCATGGTTGCAGCATTATCAAGGATGCAGCACTGCACACATTATCTCCTGCTTTACCTTTGGATATACCACAAGTCCCTCGGAGATATTCTGCAGTGTACTCAGGATGATGTCAGCTGTGAGGAAAGCCTCAGCCAGACACACGCGCCTATGAAACACACATACCCAGGGCCCCAATTAGCAGTGAAGGCCATGTTCCAATCTACCTCAGATCCAGGCCTTTAGCTCCTGTAAATAATTCTGTAAACAGCATTACTGTGTCCCTAAAGCTGTAACTGTTCTCCTTACGGGTGCTTCTTGTTGTTTAAATGTCATGACCAGGAAAGCTAAAGAACATCTTATAGCAGTAGCTCTCAAGCTGGGGAGAAGGGAGTTTTGGGTTTGGTTAGTTGGTTGGTTTGGGGTTTTTTTTGTCAACAGAGAGAGGAAGAGAAAGGGTGAAGGCACACATAGAAAGCTCCAAGATAGTTCAATGATTACACAGCTAGGAAAGAGGGCAGCCATTTACAGAGCTAGCAAAAACATGAGTATCTTCACCTATGTGTTCTGTGTTGCGCTGTCTACTGATCCTACCCTCCACGAGTAAGACATGCTGCACGCTCATGCTGTGCCTGGCTGTGCTCAGCGGGGAACTTCCAAAATGATCCATACATTTGGTGGGGGCTTCCTCCAAGGGACCAGCTCCTGGTCACAAAGGAGGCTCCTGACAAAAAGGAAAGGAGGGAAAGAAGTCGTGGGGACTGAGCTGTATCAGGCAAAGGCAAAAGTCTCTGCATCACAGTGCAGCAATTACAGCATCATCCCTCTGTGACAGCAGTGCTTGGCCCTTTCTAAACTGTGATCTTTTAAAATATACCAGTACTTGAACCTTGTGCTACATTTAAGACCCTCAATTCTATCACACTGTCTTCAAAAGGATTTTGCTGTTTTGTAGACTGCATTTTCTCTGGGTTGCTCTCCTTTCAAAATGCTATAGCTTTAACAAGAAAAAGCCAAGGCACAGAATTTTTTAACTGGATTATGAAGTGGACAAATGACCCTTTCTATTAGATGAAATGAAAATAAGGTTTGAAACATTCCAGTACAGCTCTCAACACTTGGTAGCTATTGGGAAATAAACACACCATGTCAACCAGTATTCAGTTTCTTGGATTTACATTGTTTGCTGCTGCCTATGCAGCTCTTTTCTTAACAAGACCAGCAGCTGTGGAGTAAAGGCCTTTTGGGAAAAGATTTATGTTCTCAAGAAATTTTATGCCGACATTATGTTTGTGGAGCTATCTTTAAAATAACATTCTCATCAACAATCTTTACAGTAGTCTATAGCCAAAACTGCTGCTGTTCATGGTTCCACAAGCCCCATACCTTAGAAATATAAACATTTAAAGATTTCTAAGATTCTAGGAGATCAAATTCTGCAACAGAAGACTACTTTGAAATTAAAACATTTCAAAGGTAAATATAAGCTTTATGCAAATTTAGTACTAACTGGAAGATGGAAGCATTGAATTTAATTGCTGTAATGTACTTGATAATTATTACAGATAACTTTTGTTCATCTCAAAATAGTCATAATGAAGAATCAGAAAACAAAGCAAAGTTTGCTGAACAATATCTGAAAGACCCACACAGGTTTTCATGAAACATTACTTAAAAAAATGTTTGTGCTCTTTCTTTAGGATCTGAATGACTTCTTGAAAAGAACACATTACAAAGCGATGAAAATAAGTTTTTCTAGATTATTTGGAGGGTTAAGGGATTACAGAAAAAATGCTGGATTATTCTTTAAGAAGTGAAGAGGAGCAGGGTCAAAAAACACATTCAAAACAAACAGGGAGGAAAAATTGAGAAATGTGAGTACTGTTATACTATGCTGCTGAAACAGGAAGACTACAAGACCAATTTATTACCATGGCTTCTGCATCCCTCCCTCTCTCTGCTGGTTTACGTTGCAGAAGATCTTGACATTAAAAAAACCTAACAGTTTTCATCTGATCTTATAGAGGAAACCAGTTTGTAGTCTCTAGATTTTATTGAGACTGCTTTTTATCAAGGTGGTAACTTGTGGTTTTAGTTTAAAAATAGTATTTTCTAAATACATCAAAGGACCTTGCTGCACAAGACCTTCTGAAATTACTGCATTGCGCGATCTAAACAAACCTGTTGGCACTGTCATCCAACGTTCGCTCAAACCACTGCACAGAGGCTGTTTGGAGGGGATCCAGCACCAGAGTCATCAGGTGTCGAGCCAGGCTGCAGCAGCGTTCTGAACGCATTGGATTCCTCTTGTAAGGCATAGCACTTGAACCTGTGAAAGGAGGAAGAGTAATGGGAACGGAGCAACAGAACTAGTGCATTCAGGAAAAAGAGATGAAAGTCCTCCCTCAGATAAGAAAAATGTGTCAGGAATCATGTTTTTGACTAAAGCCTCAAAACATGATGATTTTCTAAGGACAAAATGGAATAAAGAAAATCACACCACCACACTTCCCCTACAGATTAGAAACATCCAAGCGTGGGAAGGAAAAAAAGTGAGAAGATATTTTGCAGTTCTGCAAAATAGAAGAAGTACTACCACATAAAAAGAACAAATGGACTTAATTTTTAATGCAGCATTTAGCACCATCTCTCTAGGCTACCCATGGCAACTTTAGCAGTGTTCAAAACCCCATTTGCTCGATAACATTGTCCTTCAAAATCAGATAATTATACTGCTGCCTGTTGCTCTGGTGAATGGATATCAAAACTGTCCATAGAATGTAGAATGGTTCAAGTAATATAAACGAGTAGGGCTTAATTTGCCAATTCAGTCCTACGCAACTGTTTAGGGGGCCTGAATTTTCTTCCAGCCAAGATCCAAACTTTGTTCCTTCTTCCCTTACACCACTGTCAGAATCGCATCATTGGTATTCTTCTGGCAAGGGTCCAGCCTAGATTCATTATTTTAAATTTGCCTGTTTATAAAAAACAAAATGCTGAGTCAAGCTGAAAACCTACAGCTCCAGTCAGCTTCATGAGAAATGGAAAACACTGAGTGTTTCTGAGACCCAAGTCTTGCTCTGTGGGGAATGGGGCATACATGACTGCTGCTGCTCTCCCCCCAAACCCAGGAAATGGAAGAATACAAATCTGATTTTAATTACTTAATATCCAGAAACTTTTGGGTAATGTGCCTTTTTTTTCTTCTTTTTTTCCCTTCTTCTTCTTTAAAAAGGACCCAAAACACTAACAATGTCAAACCCCAGTTAATTTAAAGCAGCTTCTGTCAGTGACATTTCTAAGTTTGCTTAAAAGGCTGCATCAACATAAATGAAAAGGTACATACACCAGTCCAAGAAACGTCTCGCAGCCCTTACCAATCTGGTCTTTTTCAAAAGGCTCCTCTATCTCCTTCAGGTTGGCCAGAAGACGAATGTCAGTACAAATCTAGAAAAAAGCCCAAGAAATTAACAAACAGAACCAAAGAAACACATACCAATATATACTCCTGTTAGTGTTCTTGGAGAAGTGTTTGCATCTGTGTCCGAGAACTGAACTTGGGGGACAATGAAAAATCTGACACAAAAATTGACACTGCTATCATACTTCCTGGCCTAAAAATCCCAGTCAAGAAAACATAAGGAGAAAAGCATGTCCACTGTATTAGAATAGAACAGGACTGCAAGAAGGGCAAATGTTTGCAGGAAATGAAGGACAGACCAGGAGGGAACACTGAAAATGCATAACAAAATTACACAGATAATGTGTGCTCACTGAACCAGCCAGCCTACAAAACTAAAACAGAATACCACAGATCACTTTAGCCCAAGAGCAGAAGGAGGGAGGGAACAGAGATAAATCAATGAAAAGAATCCACAAGGACAGAGAGAATAACACCATTATCAGAGGAGCAATTAACTAGGAGCAAACAGTGAAACGTAAAAGCTCATACACCGCTAGGAAAGACATTTACTCTAGTGGGATCAATTTAGCATAGATTAGACAAATATCTGGTGTGGGATTTGTTAATCCATCTTACGATCTGCTCAGTAAACTTGATTTGCCACTGGTCTTCAGATCTTTGAGGTTTGATTACTAGGCATGTACCCAGTGGTGAATTTACATGATCACAGAGAGAACAGTTGAACAAGGAACACCAATTAGTATTTCTTGAGAAGAGCATTCTGCACCATGAGCACCTTCTCTTCAAAACCTAAAATGTTTCCCTCTCTTCCTGACGTACACAAATAGGGCACTCACCTTGTGTATAGATGCTCCCAGACTGGCCAGCACAGACAGGACTTCAATATCCACCTTGCGACTATAGGTCTGCCCTGTGACCATATAAGCCCTAGAAATAAGCACAGAAGTCGAGCGCTCCAGACAGATACAATGGTACTGCAAGACTTTGAGCAAGGAGTGACGTGGCTCTTAAAGTGAAGTGCTGTCATTCTGTCCTGATGAGAACAACTTTGCATTCAGGCTGCCAATTTCTTGGGATCAGCATGCAGATGGGAGAGAGAAAAACAGAGGAAAAAGGGACAGACATGCTTTGACAGGGAGACAAGTAGAAGTGGCCTATTTAGGAGGTGAAGTTTCCTGTGGGAAGCTGCAACTGGGAATGGAAGATGGCAAGAGAAGATAAGTCAACAGCAGCACAGATGTCAGTTTGGCAGCTAGGGGAATCTGAGCCAACAAGGACAGCAGGAGTCACACTTTGCTAACACTAAATATAGGTGACTAAGTATGCTTGTTACATACCGCTTAAATCCCGCCTTTGCAGTCACTAATCTGTCCAGCTCTTCAACCTCAGGGTGAAGAAAAAACCAAAACAAACAGAGCTCAGCAACAGCAAAACTGATCCTTTGCTTTTCTCAGTTTACTGTCAACAAATGTTTTACTTGCTGGGAAGTACCCCCTCCCCAGATTCTGCTCACTTTCACACAGGGCCTTGTCAGTGTGTCCCAGAGGGATCGCAGTGCCCTTCTGAATTTGGTGCCAGAATCTCCATGTTCCCCCAAAGAGAACAGCATTCCAAAGGAGAGGATTGCCAAGACTGCAAGTCTATGTTCTAGGCTGTCTGACTTACTTTACTATGGTCTCCCTCAAAGAGCTGCAAGAAGCTGGCTTGAGTGCCAGTAGTGCCTTTTACACCCCGAAAGCGCAGGTCATCCCGAGCCCGCTCCAGGTTCTGCAGGTCCATGCACAAGTCCTGAATCCACAAGCAGCAGCGTTTCCCCACAGTGGTGAGCTGTGCAGGTCTGAAAACAACCAAGAACAGATTGTGACTCATTCATTGACAATTTGCACAATAACTCCACAAGGACCACACTTTGCTACTGAGTCTACTGGTAAGGCCTCCTTGCAGGCTGGTCTCTCGGACTCTTCTAGGCAGAAATTAAAAAGATCTGACTTATGCAGGAAGATGTAACAGCACACCTGTATCACCAGTAAATGGTACTGAAGACATGATCATTCTTTTCAGGAATTAGATGTAATTACATCAAAAGAAAACAGTAATTGTGGTTTCTGTATGTGTGAGGGGATTAAGAAATAAGTGAGAATGGGTATCTGAAGGTGTTTCCCTACTGCAGCTTTTGAGAGTTTCTTAAAGAAAAGTGACCGGAGGCTCACTAGTCAGAATATGTAAAACGGGTTTCACGGCGTTTTTCCAGAACTCTGTCAAGCGGAAAAGCCTCAGCTAGTGCAAGTAACGCGACCCGCCGGGCCCAC